GGATTGATAGAAACCTTTGGTCCATGTTTCTGTCTTCCAGGCAATAGCTGATGACATAAACCTCACCTTTTGTTCTACATTGAGTCACTACAATGACATCAGCTATTGCTCCCACCATAATTTATCAATACAGTGAAAGCTCCTCCATGCGCTAATTATCTTGTCCCCCTTGGCCAAAGCCTCTAAGATGTAATAGGGATGAAGTCACCCAGGTTCTCTCTGGGCACCTGGTTCATCAGATTTTAGTGGACACTTACTGAATGCCTTTTGGCTTTTGAAACTAAGTGCTTGTGTCTGTGTTGGAGCCTTCTGTTTGCAGGTTTCCATTCTGTCCTCCATCAGATTCTGTAAAACTCCCCACTTAGATCTGTGTCTTGATGAATGACTCAAAAGTTCTTATATTGCCAAATCATTTGCTATACAGAAGGATATGTCCAACAAATTATGCAATTACCATTATTAATCAGCTTGTGTCTCTACAAGATCAAGGGAATCTTACTTTACGCCGAAATTTTCAGCTGATGAGTTGGATTCGTGCAGTTTCTTTTCCTCCTCTTTAGAAAGTGATGGAGGGGAGTGTATTCTGTCAATGCTTCAAGAGACCAAATATCCCCTGCTTATTAATTAATAATATCCATCTGGACTTTTATCCAAAGAAAAAGCATTCTGAGCCCTGTTGTATCCATTTTTAAATCTTTGAAAGCCCTGCCCTGCTTTCCTTGTTTCTAGCACCTACCTAGTTACAGGACATCAGGAATGCAAGTGGAGAACTGATGATGGGAGGAGGCCCTGAAATCTTCTTTTGATGAGTGGGAACAACCAGAATAGGGTTCTTGAAAGCCACTATAAGCCAAAAAAAGTCCTCTGACACTGAACATCTCAAGAAGATGAAAACCGTCCTCCCATTTCCATTGTCCCTGGCCTGAGCTTTTGATCTGATGCAAGAAATGTGGTATGTGTCTGAAGTCCAGAAAGTTTATGCTGGCAAATAGAGAAGGAGGAGGTGGGTTGAGTAAGCTGGGACTGAGCTGCAGGCACATAACGCTCGTGTCCCTGCTGAGGGCCCTGTGCGTGAGCAGCGAGGAGCCAGACCCTGAGCCCTGGGAGAGGAGCAGGAGCCAGACCCTGTACAGAGGTGAGCCCAGAAGGTCTCAGAGGCTCAGGGCTGAGCTCTGCAGGCTGGAACCTCTGCCGCTGGCGCTGGCCCGAGAGCTCCTTGGCCAGTGCAGTGCGTCGTCCTCCCGCGCTCCCTGCGCCTTCCCTCGCGGCTCCCGCGCCGGGCCCGGCTCCTGCTGCAGAGTTGGCAGGAGATGTGGCTCCATTTCAGCTCTTTTCCAGCCTTCTGACCCAGTTCAGCTGTGTCTGAGACATGGGGCCTGGAAACCCTCATGCCGCTGGGACCTCTCTTGCCAAAGGCTCCGGTTCAGTGTGTCCATTTAGGCTCAGATTTGGCTTTTGCTTCCATACATGCAAAAAGACAAAAGTCTGAGTGTTCTGCTGAGTCGAGGCCATCCTTCAACTTGGACAACACAGTGTGAAGTGGGGAGGAAAGGTTTTCTTGTCTTCTGTAGGGATCTGCTCTCCTGGCACCATAGGCAGCAACCACAACTGCTGTTCTTCTCTGTCCCTGCCCTGGTTGGCTGAGTGACTGTCATTACCCACAGCATCTAGGTATATATACATATATATGGTGGCATGAGGATATTTTCTACCTCCATTCTTCATGGAGACACAACTTTTGTGTTGGAAGCAGTAAAAGCAACAGAGGTGGGCACTGCTTGCAATGAAGATTCCCATTGAAAACCACATGTTCTTCCCTTGGTGTTATCCCTCTCTCTACTTCAACCTTATTAACTAGAAAACACCAAGATGTTAATACTGAGACCTTTAATACATTGCACATTTTGCTAATTTGCTTTCTGGCTGTGAGCCTCTGTGGTATCATTTTCCAGCAGTTTACTCAGAGGGCTAGAAACTTTTTTTTTAGTTTAATGAAAGTGGGAATTCTCCTTGGGTCCCATGACTATGGCAATGGCAGCCTGAAAGGAAAACAAAACGTGACAGAAAATAGATATATGGTTCCAGTGCTATTGCAATAATGTGTAAGGACCCTGTTTGTGCTATGTGCTGTGCTAGCTATGAGAGGACACTCCTTGTTGAAAGAGCTGAGTAGAGTTTGAGATTTTTGAATGTGACTAAATCCCATGTGCTTTTCCTTCTTTAGTTTGGCTCTGTGGATCTCACGGATGTGAGAGCTCTCTTCTTTCTGCTTTATTTCTTTTGGGCACTTCTTCAGCCCTAATCATAAAAACTAGAATTTCTCAGCAATTTCAAGTCTGGAGACTTCCTGACCTCTATCATTTCGTGCCCAGGGAAAATAAACTTGTTACTATGGTTTGAGCCTTAATGACTGCAAAGTATATATAGTCAATTTATAAAAGCACATACTGGCTTATTCTGTACATGCCTTTAAAGCTTTTACAGCATTTATCAGCAGAGCACTCATTTAAAACATGTTGTTTTAATGAAAAGGATACTGTTGCCACTGTTTTGTGTTGATTATGTGGTAACACATTTTTATTATCACCCATAAAAATGATTTGGAGCTGTTCCACTCCAGATGCAACCTTCAGCATTGCTGTGCTAGCACTGCTCTCTCTGCCCAGGAGAGCCACAGGCCCCTGCAGTTTGCTGCTCTCTGACCACCACTGCATTGATTTAGTGTCACTCCTTCCACAGCTTCTCTGGGCTGTGGCATAACACTGTCCAAGAGAGCCCTTGTGTGGCCCTTCCCTGCAGCAGGAGCATCCCAACCCTGCCCTGGCTGTAGCCCTTCTAATTTGCCACCTCCAGAGTTAGTTTTCCCTCTCTGGCCAAGGATGTTTTGGCAACATCCAGGTCTTTGCTGGGGAAGTAAGAGGATGATATAATAGTATAGAGTGATTCAGAAAAGGCCTTCAGCACACATTTGAGTCCATGTTAATGGGAATTAAGCTTGATTGTGGTAAGGCACATGCTCAAGTGTTTGTTGAACTGATAACACATTTCCTTGCAAGTCTGACAAATCTTTAGGTAGAACAGAGTGCCAGAGGCAGATGGAACCAATTCCTTCCTTGTCTGGCATGAGTGAAGCCTGAGGAATAAAAGCGTTGTGACCTTACTCCTTTTCACTTAAACAGGACTCTGGATCCATGAGCAAAGATCCTTGCAATGAAGGAAGAATTTTGCTTGTTTGCAAGAGTGAGGTTCAGTTCCCTTGCACTTAACCTAGCTCCCACTTTAATTAGTTTCTGATTCACCCCCATCAGGCCAGTACATTCTGCAGGAAGTTCATCATTTCTGGCGCTGCTGCAATACTGACTCTCCCCAGGCCTTGCAATAAAGGAGCGATAAACCTTGTAATAATTGCACTTTAAAAACAAACAAGTGGAGCCAAGTCACTCTCATTTATAATTGCAGTGTGACTTCATTATGTAAAGACAACACAGCATGTAAAAGCTGAAACTTCTAGGGATTTAGTGGAAAGTTTGAGCTATATTCTCTTTTATATCCCTTATCCCTAAATCCATATTTGCTTAGGTGGTTTCCAAATAGGAAGAGATGGTGCTGTAACAAACCTCAGTGTTGCACTCCCAGAGCAATCTTCCCATGTAGCTTTGTGTGTAGAAGTCAGAATTTGCTGGAGACTTGGATCAAAATTCTTGTTCTGGAAACCTCAGCCCTACTCCTGCCTGATGGACGTCCTGTGTCCATCCTGGGCAGGGATCCCTCCAGCTGCCAGGGCAGTGGCATCCCAGGTGTGGCTCAACCAGAGGCTGCCAACACTGGCTTTCCCAATAGAAAATGTGTTCTGCCCTTGGCCTTTGCTTAGCTCCTGCCTGGCTGTTGGGGTAAAATCCATTTGCAGTAGAGCATATGGGCTTGGCATTCCAGGTCGGTGCTCCTGAAGCTTTTCCTAAAGAAATCTTCTACTAGTTTGCTATGCCACCCTTGCTTAGTGGCAGAGGGATGAAGCTTTTAGAATCAACCAGAAATTTTCTCTTTTTAAAATCCTTATTTTGTGAAGGCTTTCATTGAAAATGTTGGCTCTGAAGTGCAATGGATGTTCTGCTGAGCTTCATGTTAATGGAGTTTGTCAGTGGGCAGAGTACACCTGGTCCTCCATCCCTCTGGTCCTGTGGACATTTAGGGGTTTTGTAGCCATGGTAAGGACTAAATCCCAGTTTTGTACAGGCCACCAGTAGCCAGGAGAGCACAGCTTAATGAAGAGCAGCCTGATTCATATGGGCAAATGGGTCACTTTGCCAAGGAGTGTAGCTTGTAAACGGCCCAAATAGCACCATGGCACCCAGGGATGTGTGTTTATTTGAAGGTAGTGTTAGCAAGATATAGAAACAGCTCTGAGTTTGAGTAATATCCTATCACTTCTAAGTAGATCTTTTTTAGGAAATTGCCTGCTTTTTTTTTCTTTGCTTCAAAGTTAAAGTACTTCAGTTCTTTAAAAGATTCGTATTCTCCATCATCTTTCACTTGCAGCCAGTGCTTGTCCTGAGGCACCTCAGTTTGCTGCTCTGGTCCTCCAGGTATAGCCCTTCACCTTGGACCAGCTCTCAGTAATCTCTGATTTTGTGACTCTGGGATTGAACACATAACCCAGGGAAATGCTGTGTCCCCTGACACCTGCTTTGGTCCCTGGTTTCATGTTTCTCACCAGGAAGACAATCCCACGTGAGGCTGAGTCTCTCTGGAGGCAGTGAATCCCTCTCCACGGAGGGTGCATGTGGGACCCTTTTGCAATTAACACAGCAACTTCCTACGCTAATTGCTGCTGCTTTCCAGGAAACCAATAAAGCTTTAACACCAAACTCCAGTGGTCTGGGATGCAGAGTTATTCCCAGCTCCTGCTGGCAAGGAGAGGAGTTCCCAGTCTCCTTCAGGATTGAGATGGAGTATGTAACCATCAGGCTGACCTTGTTTGCATTCCCTGTGTCCTTGTGTAGATCCTTCTGCTGGAGGCTGCGGAGCGGAGCCCATCACTGGAGAACAACCTGCCCATCACTGGCACGACAGCCACGTGGTATGATGATTTGCTGCCAGATGCCTTTCCCCTGCTGAATCCTGGGACTGTCCTGAGAAAAACTGTGGGATCTGTTGGTAAGCCTAACCTGCTCTTCACCACATCACCCACCCCACATACAGAATTCCTGCGGGGTAACTACAAAGGAGGCTGTGTCAGTCTGCTCTAGTGTTGGAAGCTGGGAGGAGGGAGGTTGGAAGGTCTCAGCCCTTCCTTGAGTTCAGGCAGTACAGAGCAGGCATGTTCTGGGACGAAAGCAAGCTCAGAGACTAACATATGAAGCTCCATGTTATCAGCTGCCTGTGGCAGCCTCAGTTTCTGCTGGCACAAGCATCATCTGAGAGCTGAATTTGTGTCTCTGGGAAGTTTGAGGTCTGTTAACCTCAGTATGGCCACTGTGCCTGCCTCTGTGTTTCAATGTACTTGTTTTAAGCCCAAAGACTGTGGATTTTGAGGCCTGGATAGACTGAAACATTCCTGGGGAAACTCCAGAGAGCCATCAGGATCACAGTGGGACATTAATACTCACCTACTGAGCACCAAATGCAGTGTTTCCCAGCCTGGGAGCAGTGCTGGGGGTAGAGCACTGGGCTGCAAGGGTAATTCTTAGGTTTATTAGGACAAAAAAACTTTCCCATGAATAGCAACATCAGTTGCAGTCTGCTTTATATTTTCTAAATTTGCCATAAACACAATGGGCTGTTTTATGATCCCTCTTGTGGCATGAAAAAAAAATACACTTATAAGAAAATCTCCCTCTGAGCCCACTTGGCTAGACAGATCCCCACGCATTGAATTTCCTTGACCTTGGCATCTTTTTGCAAGATCCCTACTCTCTGCTTCCAAAGCCCTGTCTGTCTGTTGCTTTGCTTGCTCCCAGAGCAGTTCTTTAGTCTCTTTAGAGCCTACTTTGCTTTTTTCTTCTTTTTTTTCCCCCCTTTTTTTGCTTTTTCATTTTCTCGGACCCAGCAGTTTATTATGGCAGCCCTTCATGACTGCAGCAGACTTGGAGCAACCAACATAGTCCAGATGTTGTCCATGTTTATGATTTGACATGATGCCACAACATGGAGGGAGGTTCACTAATAATATGTTCTGCAAAGTATTTTCAGAACCACAGGAATGGCTGCCAGGAACTGAATTAAAGCAGTTTCCCCCAGTGTCCATTATATGCTCATTTTGCCTTCTCCGTGTCATTTATTTTTGCTGTCACAGTATCTCTACACCTGCACTTTGTTGTACTAAAGTCAGTCCAGCAAAATGCTGGTGACTTTGTCCCTTCTAGTCAAAGTCCTCTCCTCTAGGAGGCTCCATTCACATGGTCATCTCTTGCTGAACACAGAGCAGTGACTGCCACTTGCCCAGGCTTTTGGCCATGCTGCAAAACAGAACAGCTCTCCTGTAGCTCTTGTATCAGGCTGACTCCATGGCCCAGAATCATCACCCTCCACCCCTGCAGCAAATTCAGAGGGTAGCTAATGGTCACCTCCAAAAAGCAGGTGATGATGTCTAAGCTATGTGTGAGTCTGTCATGTCAGCCAAACTTCCAGGCTGAGCACACAACCAGCTGCACGTGTTCTACCAGGTGTAGTCCTTGCTCACTGTGACTTTTTATTTTTCTGCCCTTGTTTTATTTAACCTAGTGTGAAACAACAGCTAAGCATAATAACTGGGAATCAGGAATGTATTGGAGCATTTCGACAGCGTCTTTCAGCAATTAGAAATAATCAGCTAAGTTGCTTATTGACTTGTGGTTGCCTGCTGAGCCCCTACCCAAGCTCTGTGGGCTTCAAATGGCTTGCTGAGGAGCTGTGGGGATATTTCATGGATCTGGGTCCATAGCTGGCTTCTTTCCCTTCCCACACCCATCTGTATCTCCAAGTCAAAAC